ATGCGTCTTCAGATGTTTAATTAGATTGCTGGTGTTAAACGATGTACTTTCTTTCCCTCCTCTCGACACCTTAGCTGAACATAACTCACAGTCTGCCTTGCTGTTGTCATCATCCCTTATCTTGAAATGAGCCCAAACCGCCGACATTATACTTTCCTATGCCTCAGTTCACCTCGACAAAGTACTCGCGGCGGCCAGTTTCGTTTCGCAAAATGTACGTGGTATCGGTGCGTGGTATCGGCGAATATTTATGAGTACGAGTACGAGTATATTAGGACAGTATCGGCCCGATCCCCGATGCCAGTATCGGTATCGGGACATCCCTACTAGTAACTAAATTCGGCTGAAATAGGCCTACATTTTCTACAGCAGACGCTTCAACGTTGATCGCCCCTTCAAAAAGGTGCGAATTGTCCATCACCTCACAGCGTGGGCTCAGCAAGATCTCTGGTGTTCAGATCCCACACTCACCGTGATCCTGACAGCGTTACGTAAAATGGAACGGCTCAATAATTCATACGCAACCCTTTTAAAGCTGAGCCGCCTTCAAACGATAACCCGTACTGGTGTGAGTCTGTCCTTCCCCCTCAAAGATGATAAAGACACCAAACAACCATAGGCCGTGATTGAGTTTGCTGAATTTTATTTGACAAAGTATTCTCCTCGTTTTTTTTTTTTTTTTTTTTACCCACTCTCTTTTTGTCTCGATATTGTCATATTTACAGTAATAAAAAATAAATCATTTTTAGGAAGGATTACATTCCACACTTACATTGCAATGTGTAGCATGTTCCTTTCATAAAGTGCATCGTATTTGTCAGATTTCTGTTCACAATACAAATAGAAACAAACAAAGCAAGAAAATGATTCAACAACGATTACATCACAGTATCAGAGCACCCATCCACATCTCTGACCGCTTGCTATAAGGGCCACATAATTGTGCTGACAAGAACTTTCCTTTAGCTCTATAAATGAGTGCAAAAGTGATTGTGGATCAAAGTGAGACTTCATCAGTAACAAGAGATTTGGATTTTGGAGAATGGGCTACATTTGGGTGCAGTGGTTACATAACCCCAGAGGCTCTTATAAAGGCTTACTGTCTCTCTCCTCTTCTTTATTTTAGGAAGGCGCCTTCTCACTCTAATGTTGCTGTTGATGGGAAACACAGAGCTCTGCTTAATGGCCCAGAAAACGGATTTCAAGTACCCTAGATAAATGTAACATTTCATGCTCTTCAAGGTTATTTTTAGCAGGGCTAGATTTAGTGGTAATAGAGCTTCCATGCGGTTAGGTGCCGTCATTCAGACGACCTCTCTCCGTTTATGTACGCCAGCAGTGACGTCATGACAAAGGACTAAGGTACGCTAGTCTCACTCTAAATTGTTCTCGTTTCTCTCTCTATAACTCTCAAAATAAGCCCCCATTGCCTGTGCTGTAGCTAGGAATGCAGTCATCTTATATTTTATCCACTACTGACTGAAGATATGTGAAATTCTAGATGGCTGGCTGCCTGACATACTTCAATTCTGTGATGATATCTGTGGTGTTAGTAATTGGATAGGTCACTTTTGAGCATGAGGCTGGGGGTGGACCATCTGTCTGAAGTCTGGCACACTAAAGGGCTGTCCCAGTCCAACAGAACGCTAAAGAAAGAACTGCATTGCCGGTATAGCCGTACTGGGCTCCAGTGTCCAAGAGAGAGGGTGGGATGTTCACCACCTGGTTCTCTGGGTCTATTTTATAGCTTTTAGACCCTACTGTTAAAACTAGGGATGCACCGATATGAACATTTTGGCCGATACCGATAATTATATATATACAGTCAAACCAAAATTTCCTCAAACCACTCCTTCAACATTTTTCACATTATCACAGTTTATTCGCTATAGTTTAGAAAATGGTAATAAAATATGACAAGAACTCCGAGTTATCCAATCAGTTGATATTTCACTGGTTTTGGCCATCCTTCTGTTAGACTGTCTCACAAAATGAATTAGGTTGAATCGCTGTCAGCTGTTAAATTTAAGTACATAATTAGATAATACCAATTTAGGTCAACCAATTACCAAGCAATGCTTAATTTTGTTCAGTCTGTGGTGTAAAAACGTGGCATTAGCAATTTAAGAAAAAAACACTTAAGCAAAACATGGTCAGGTCAAAGTGTCTGAATAATGTTTGGTCCCAAATTTTTATACATTTTACTGGTAGTCCAGTGTATGAAGAATTTGTGGGTATAATATGTCACAGTTTACTTTGTTTTGCTATCCTCACTTACATATAGTGTCCTGCACCCAAAAAAAAAGAAAGATATCTGGTGTCTGAATAATTTTTGGTTTGACTGTATTTTAAGGCCGATAACCGATATATTGGCTGATAAATCTAATTCTACATTTTTATCATTTTTGAGAGCCCGATTACAAAAACAAAAGTCTCACCATTAAAAGCCATGTCCCAATCACACAATTATAATGTTCTCATTATAATTTTATGTAGCCTATAGACAGCACATGTTGCACTAAACTGTAATTTCCTTTTTTGAAGTGATTCCAATCATATTTCAAGCAATTCAAAACCATCATGGCGAACAGTGTGCATCTAAAGTGTCAGCTGAAGAAAATAATCGATAACGATATCATTAAAAACAAACATATATCAGCCGATACCGATATGGTGGCCGATATATCGTGCATCCCTAGTTAAAACTGTCCGCTACTAAACAAACGATATCTTGTCTGTCTTCAGTAGTCAAGCTGCCTATAATCTGGGCACAAAGCTGTATTTGGACCACTGCAGGTTGGAAGGTGAATGGTACTGTGACTGTCGACACAGTCAGGTGATGTTACAAATCATAATCCTTGTTTTTACTGATCTGATTAATGCATTAACTCAGTAAGACACTAGTAAGTGAAATTATGGCACTTTCTGCCTTGTCAACACTCTTTTTGTTTCATGTGTTTGTTTGTTTTGTTTAGTTTTTTCTGTTTTTGCTTTTTCTTGGAAACCATTGATAAGAATACAGGTACTGAACACACGCACATATACACACACACCAAAACGACATCATAAAACTCATGCCCTGATGTGTATAAAAATATACGTTTTCATACAGCATTGCATAAGAAAAATAACCGCTGCACCCCTGTACAAACTGAATCTATGGCATCCAATTGAGTACATTGTAGTGGAGATACATTACATAACGATAGAGATTTTCTGAAAAACATTGATATTTGCCAGGTGTCGTGTATTATGATGGGGTGGGTTATTTTTTATAAGTGGGCACAGTGTGACAGGTCACTGAACCCCACTCCTGACATAAGTGAGTGGTATATAAACAAATGGTACGCTCGCTCTCGTTCACAGACACACAAACAATCAAGCGTATCACACAATCGCACAAAAAAAAAAAAGACTGGAGAATTGTTCCACAGTGTCCAGACTGTGGAATAACTCCATGTAGAAGTCCATCAGGTTTTGTACAGGTCACTAAGAGTATTGAGGTTAGTCAGAGGGCATCTGGATGGGCTCTCAAGGCCAACTTTGAATACTTGTTCTACAATGTGAAAGCGCATCCTAGAAAACAGTACATTTGATTTAAAGAGCTGAAACACTCCGGTCTCACTAACCTATTCTCAGAATCTTTTTATCATGTTCAAGTCAGGAAGTAAAATTAGCTCTGTTGATGGCCTCATTGTGATTGTAGCTCTGTCAATGAACGGTACATGCTGATTCATTATTGCAGAAGAGAAACGGTAAGGCCTAAATTAAGATTCTTTGCTGCAAATGAGGGGTCGTCAAAGAACAGCTGTGACATTCATTCCCCCCTTGAAAACGCAAGGCTTTGTTATCGTCATATTTCAAGCTCCACAAATATACAGTTGTACCTCACGGTACATATAAAATATTACAATTAATTCTTTAGCTGTTAGTGGTTTCATTTGCGCCATTTTGAGTCATAATGTCATAGTGTCTTTTGAGTTTCTTGTGTGTTTTTGGTTGTACAGCATAATATAAATCCAATTTGGCGGATTCAGTAATGTGTTTTTCAAATCTCACATGCCATTTCAAGGTATTTTGGGCTGAATCTTAACTTAAGTCCCTTCTGTCCCATTTTGGTCTAGTTATCTGATCTTTTAATAGGCCTGCATGTAGATCTATGTACACACAAGCCTGCCCCTAACACTGATCTCTGATCTGACTGAGTAATTGTGCAGTCACAACTCAGTTATATCTGATAATCGCTGGAATCATTTTGCTGCACAGACCCAAATCTTTTGTCTCATTTAAGCATTTCTGCCCCAGTTGGTCTTTTGCAGAATTGTTTTTAAAGATGTTGTCTGCATTGAATTTACAGCATTGTGGCTGACAGCTCATTTCGCACTTAAACTTTCATTAACCCGCCGATGTGCACCAAAACCAAAACGTGTGCTCAATAGATTCCAGAGACAAAAAATGTGTGAAAATATGATTTGCTTCACAACTTTGTGGCAGCAGATATTTTGCTGTCATTAGGGATGTAACAAACCAATTCAGTATGTCTAAACAAACTGGCTTTTCCCAGGGAATCTTAAATTTATGATATGAAGTTTCTCTGCAAATGACGTGTAGTAACAAATAAAAAAAAAATTCTTGCATCATTATTTCAGTTGGTGAGATGATCTTAAAAAAAAGTGATTTTATAAAACTGGCTGTAAAGCGACAGATGCCAGAAGCGGTATAATTTTCACTCGTGGGACTGTGTTTTCTTTCTGTCATTCATACATTTTTAAGTGAACACGGATATAAGTGTTGGAGGTTGGTTTGCAAGGGAATAGCCTCATTGTATCTGCCACTGTCCGTGGTTCTGAAAGCACTCCCATAGCATGAACGTGTACATGAAAGCTGTTTACAGCTTTCATCACACAAATCAGGTCGATTTTTACAATTAATGGTGTTTTTTAGATGGATATATAGTATATTGATATTTGTCACTGGGCCTGTACGACATATCTCAGATTATTCAGATCATGTCTACAATTTTATATTTTGTGCATAGAGGTGTACTATGCATTAAAGACATGTGCAAATTATACATTTGCAGGTTGACATCTTGGATCTCAACAGCTACTGCACAACCCGCAACGTTTGACTGGGATCCCATCAAGGGAAAACATCATATCATTAACACTGACACGGTACAAACCAATTATATGAGATAGACACAACTCATAGGTAGTCCGACCTATACATCGCTCGATGTCCTTGGCCGCAAGGAGAAGTTGGACGGCACGCATCCGCAGCAGGCTAGCCACAGGGATTTCTGGATGTCCGGATTTCTGTAAGCGTATATGATTGGGTTTATGACCGAGTTGCATGTCGCCGGCAGCACTGTTGCATACGTGTAGATCATTGGGTAGCTGGAGTCTGCCACGATCGAATACATAGCAAAGGGCATCCAACATGCGGCAAAGGTGCAGAGGATGACGGAGAGCGTGGATACACCTTTTGTGGTGGAAATGGCCATGAACTGGTGCTGAACAGCGATTTGCTGTGCGTGGCGGAAGGCAATCTTACAGATCTGTAGGTAAAGCTGCATCATGAGGGCAAACACCAGCAAGAACGTCACAGCGAGCACCACAGCATTGTTCTTGGTGACCGGCCGGCAGATACTGCAGCTGGCCTCGTCTCGGAGGCAGTTCCAGCCGAGCACTGGCATTAGGCCCAGGATGATGCACACCAGCCAGATGAGAACCACCACGACATAGGTGAATGTCACCGTGCGCTCTGTGTGGTAGGTCAGAGCGTTGTACAGGGACAAGTAGCGATCCACTGTGATGGCCAGGATGTTGAGCACTGATGCGGAGAAGGCGGCGATCAGCAAGCCGACGGAGATCAGAGTCGCGTACTCTTTGTTCAGCATATAGATGAAAACGAAGTTGAGAATGAGGCCAAGTCCTGCGAGCAGGTCCGCGAACGCGAGGCTCCCTATCAGAATGAACATGGGGGCTCTCAAGGTGGGCGTGTAGAAGAGGATGGCAATCACGATTGCATTCTCGCAGGAGATGAGCGTGCCTGTCACACACAGTGCAATGTCCCACGGGCTAACGGGAAGAGGCCTCAGCTCTGCCGTCCGCACCGGTGATGAGTTCCGCACATCCAGGAGATTCCACGTGCCCGCCGTGGAGAGGGAAGAGGTGTTTTGAAGTTGGTTGCTCATTGCTGCTGCAAGAGAGTGAATCATAGCTGGGGGTGGGGGGGAAGGAGGGGGAGAGAGAGAGAGGGGTGCGGTAGTGAAGATAAGAGAGAATGTGTATGTCAGTGGAAAGGCAGTTAGAATAGGATATCTGTCAGAATAAATATGCCTGAAGCCTCTGAACCTGATGACACAGTCTCTTGTTCCTAGGTCAATAAAATTACTAGGCTGAGTATGATATGCGTTTACAAAATTTGTCATTAGCTGGAATTTTCAGATTTGATCATTATTGCTGGCAAAGTGTTGATTTGTGGTCAATTAGGAATTAAATAGTCATTGAACACTTGCGAGGCGCAATTATCACATTTTGAACCACCAAAACAATGTAGCAAATTGCATCCGGACGAGCTGTAAATATGCAATATGTCGCTTAGTTTATTGCTGCATGTGCATTTCATTGGGAAAAGGCTATTAATCAAGCACCAGTCCCGACAAAACGCACGCACTTCACTTTGTTTCTATTTTTAGTAATTGTCTAAAAATAAGACGCGCCACCTCAGTGCACGGGTCTCTTATGAAGGCATCGTGTAAATGCTTCCAGAATCCACAATGATGCGCTTTTTCCTGACGCCATAGAAGCAGACACATTTGAACTCGTTCATTCATAAATTTCCACCTAACCGACCTGGCTATATATAAACTGACCAAGAAAAGACTGCAAAGGACTCGGAGAGGTCAAGCCTCCGGCAATTTGTTTAAATACACTGGTGCCCGTTGAAAACCAATGATTGCAATTCAATGGCACGTTTAACTAAGACATATTCATACAAACGAAAGCACAAGTGTGCATCAGCATACGGTACCTCAGTGCCATGAAGCTGCAATGCCTTTTTCTCCCCCGAGCTCGCGCGCAGTCCGTGCCTGTCATACGAGAGGAGATGGAGATGAGAGGGGAGATGGAGGACCCAGAAAGAGACGGAGAACAACATAAAAGAAGAACTAAAATGCGCTTTGTTTCACGTAGTTGAGTAAAACCGTCATCTTTGGCGGGTTAAGTCCTGTGGAAAAGCGAGGTGCCCGTCGGTTAACATGGCTAATTCTGTTGGTAGGACGATAGCTCTGCCTCGCTTGATATTCCCCCCATTGGACCTCAGCGATGATTCTCCCCTCTGACGTCAAGAGTCCTCACAACAGTCATGATCGAGTCTGTGAATCAGAGATGCTGTGGACGGAATATTAATAATAAAACACGTTCAGACAACAACACGAATCCCACTATAAGGTACAAGAGACAAGCGCGTCTCAGTCTGTGTCATTCCCTGGTACCGGACCCATTGTCGCCGCTTTGCGCAAAGCAACTCAATTATTTCGCCTTTTTTTCTCCAAGATTACCGACCACACCAAACTGTCCAGCTCACACAAAGGGAAAGCACCACTGTCATTTGTTTTAAGTAACAAAATCTGTCTACTTTGCGCATGTCTATGTTGTTATGTGTCTCCCTTTAATGACTTTCATGTGTTTTGCGGGTTTTTACGCAACATATTGGCACCCGAAAATTCTATATATAGCTATATATTTTTAATCGATGATTATGTAACATCTCTATTCAGCAGATATCTAATTTAGTTGTTGTCTTTGTTTTAAGACGGATTGAAGTGGTAAGGATGAGTGTTCAGTGGCGCGTACGTGCGTCTTCCACTATGAGGACACTTTCAAATACTCCAACAACAGATGTCTTTACAAGTTTATTTTTAGAAAGTCGCATTTCCTTGAATTGTGCACCTGATAGCAAATACTGGCAGACGGTTATGAGAATTAGTTTTGGAGCTGTAAATGGATACAGATTTTACCTGCTGTGACACTTGGGTCTGTTCGTATACCTCACAAAAACCTGTTAGTCACAACGTCCAAAAGAAAAACTGGACAAGGAACTGAACAGGATCAAACAAACAATACATTGCAGGTGGCTTTTGTTTGTGTGCTGAAAATAGAGACACACGGTGAGAAGGGAGGGAACTGAACTGTTTAAAGGAATGCTGTTTTCATTGCGTTTTCCCTGACAGACAATCTTATGAATAAGTAGTCGTGATCAGAATTACAATAAGTCTCAACGTTGGTTGAGCATCGGCCCTGCAATGTCTATTCATTGATGGGAGCTCCCACCAATCCCCTTCACTCTCACTCCCCCATTCATCTTCTCTGCACAGCATTGTGGGTAAGCTATTACATCATCACACTGATGCATGCACTGTTACAACAATAATTACAACACCTTTCTGCATGATCACACCCATATACACATATTACCTGATAAACTTTACAAGTATTTGAACAAATTTGTATACATTTTGATGCACATTTGTCAATTAGTAATGCAGTTAAATCAATGCACACTTGGTTGGTATCTGAATGGACAGGCCTATTTGTCTCTTTAAAATCCACTTATTTAAATCAACTGGATTTGCCCTAGTATGTTTCTTAGCTCTGTTTATCTTATTATTTGGATGCAGCTACTGCCAACAATTTACTCTCTGTTAGACCATCTAAATAAACAAGTGCTTGTCAATATAGTGCTTAAGTTGTCCTAAGATACTGTATTGATGATTAAATAAATGCATTGCAATCCCTCCATTCAGCTGAGAAGACTATTACTGAACCCATGTCGACCGCGCAAAAACCTGCTGACGCTTTCCAAACGCTGGAACTCACTCGTCAGCAGATGCTGTAGCATTGTGTGCGCGGGTATGTGTGCATGTGACTGCCTCATCAAATGTATTTATCTGCTGCTTCTATTCACTGTCTGTTTGAGAGCAGCAGCTTAAACACTCGCAGTGTGAAGGTTTTATTTACTGAGATTTTCTCAGTCGCAGCCCTTTCCAGTTTCAAACTGTTTTCAGTCTCCAGCGAGAGGCTCTTTAATGCAGCACTCTGCTTCTTCCAGGCTTCTTTCTGCTTCCTGTCTTAATGATACTGATGTGTATCTCTTGAGTGGGTGGAGCAAGTTACACCACCACAAAGTTAAAAAAGGGAAGACGGCTATGAGAAATGGCACTGTTTTTGAGGTTTACACATTTTGAAAGCAAACAGTTCTCATGGTCAAGGGTTTAATGCTCAAAGGCAGTGTTAGTTAGAATCAGATAGATAGATAGATAGATAGATAGATAGATAGATAGATAGATAGATAGATAGATAGATAGATAGATAGATAGATAGATAGATAGATAGATAGATAGATAGATAGATAGATAAATAGATAGATAGGCTAGATAGATAGATACTGCTCTAAACAATGGCACCCGTGATGCAAAACTGATGGCTGAATAGAAAGGGCAATTATATAAGAATTGACTATGAAATGTTATTATTTAGCTTAGTTACTGCAAAATGCCACAATTTTGAGCTTTGTAAAGTGCATTGAGCGGATAATAGCAGTTAATTGTAGTGCATATTGATTGATGGATGAGTTAAGTATGGGTGAAATTTGTCAAAAATGTCACATGCAAGAAAGATGGTAAAAAAAAAGAAGCTAGAAAGCTGTGTCCAGTCAAGCTTTTAAGCAGCCATCTTTTTCAGAAGGTTTTCTGAAAGTCTGCTCGACCTTTTCTTTTCCTCCTAATTTTTCCCCTTTTGTATTTATACAGTATGTGGTGCGGACTCTGCTATTCTTTTTTATTCTTCAATTCTTAGAACTTCATGGTTATCGTTACATTTATCATTATTGGATTGGACCTTTTTTTTTAAAGAATAAATGCAGGGCGAGGACATGGACTTAATGACTGAAAAAAGCATGCATACGTCACCAGAGGGCGGGGGGAATGGGTGCAATATCCAAAATCATTGATCTTTTAAAATCATTACTAAGTGGTTTTTTTGAAAATGTAAAAATACAGAAAGTTTTCTGTGAATGGAAGATTTAGGGTTATGGGATAGAATATACAGTTTGTTCAGTATAAAAATCATTAGGTCTGTGGTATGTATGTCCCCATAAAACAGGGAAACCCAACGTGTGTGTGTGCATGCGTGCGCGTGTGTGTGTGTGTGAGAGAGAGAGCTTACATTAATAAGTCTAACTGGGTCAGTTTTCCCATCTAATAATGGCAGTATTATACCTATAGGCTCAGATAGTATTTATCATTCCTCTTCTTTCTTTTTTCATCCAATCTCTCTCTTTTGTCAAGATCTCTTCTTCACTCGATGGGGTATTTAAGTCTGCAGCAGTAAACTCATGCCCAGTGGGTCCGGCTGGCTTGCGTGAGCAGCAGGTCCCCATGTGTGAAGAGTAATCCCAAGGGGGGCAAAGACAAGTGTTAGCATCCACTCTGGATAGACTTTTCCACCACTTTCACCCAAAGCCTCTCTGACTGATGAGAGCATGTCATTTCATATTAGCCCTAAGAGGGAGACAGCAGGGGTTTGGACAATTGTGTATTTACGGAATGTGTGAAGATAATAGAGGAAGACGGAGGCTGATAGCGGGTCAGATGAGGCAAAAGCCAGCCAGAAAGAAAAGAGTAGGGCTTAGTAGACTGAGCAATTTTGCATTTTTTTAACATGTTTATTTGAATTTTACAAAATGATGATAAGCAATTATCGGGTACATGGATTGTTTGGATTTTTACCTGCGATGAAATGGGGGAGGGAGGGAGGGGGGGGGGGGGGGGGGGGGGACTTAGTGATCCTAAAACGGATATCTTAATGATATATTGTAATGACATGATGTACACAAAATTTATGTTTTTAAAAAAAAAAAAATGTATTAATACCCAAAGAATTTGTATCCAAATCATTTATTTTCAATAAATTCAATAAATAAATACAATTAAAAAAACAACTTTGCATTATACGATGCCAAGACTTTCTGCATATTTTTGGAACCTATTGTCAGAATGACTTTTGTCAATCCATCAATTATTTTGCTTTGAGGGGAACATTCTTCTGTGTTGTTGTTTTCCCATTTGGAAGTCTGTTTATTTTTCTATTTTCTCCTTAGATTTCACAACAACTTTTGGTGCGTTCAAGTCATGTCGGAAAGATCGTATATACAAGTCGAGCGCACATGAACTCCACCACAAAGTTGTAAATACCAGAAGCTCAGTATCTGTATGATTTGGGGGAGTGTCAGTGAGAAACATGGTGGAATACCACAGTACTTATAGGTATTTAGCAGTGACATTGTCAGTTTTTTTTTTACAAAGTAAGCTAATTGCCTGCACAAAAAAATTCATTGTAATATAACAATATAATATGTAACAATAAAGTTTACAGTGGCTTCTTAAATTAATTATAAACATAAAACAGCAAAACACTACTGATGCACATTCTTTGTTCTTCATTTTCTAGAAATATAGAGTTAAAAACCTTGCTATATCTTTGTGTAGTTAATTAAGAGTAGGTACATTGACATTATGCTCAAACGAAAGTGACTCATTTCATAAACACGACTTCCCAACTTATAAATACGAACTTCCCAGGAGGACTTGAACACACCATTTTTATCAGAGTACTCATCTATTAATTCTCTAAAACAGCTCCACCACTTGGTTATTTTGCTCTGGAATTAGCACCCTTAGCCTTATCTTTATCTTACAATTACTGAAGAGATGGCAAAGCTGATCTCTAGTCAATGCAAAAGGGCTGTTGTTCACTCTGTTGAGGAGTCCATTGGGAATTGTTCTAAACGATTCACTGATCTTTAGATAATATTCCTCAACTGTTGAACCAATTAGCAGTTTCTGCTTGTACAGTTCCCCTGTGCACTGCTGTTAAAATTATAATCCTGTTCCAGTTGTGCTCTTTTGCATGATTAGTATTCAGTTCCTTTGAGACAGAAATCCACACATTTTAAATATTTATTTTCACTCACCTTGCGAAGAATAAAAAAAAAAAAAAGAGACAAAAAGGGTGCAGATGCATATTTTACTGGGAATCTGCAAGGTACAAATGTGTATGTTTCAATAATTGTACATGTAATCACATTTGTATCAAGAACACTCACACGTTCAGATAAAAACCTGTTTCTTTCACTGAAGAAGATCAAAGAGAGGCTCATTGTTTCATGTCTAGTAAATGAGAATGACGTAAATGGCAGTGAATAGGAAAAGTAGTATCTGTATATCTATCTATCGATCTACCATATATCTATCTGTCTATCCGGTTATCTCTCTGTCTGTCTGGTTATCTGTCTGTCTGGTTATCTATCTATAGGCTACTATCTGTCTGTCTGTCTGGTTATCTATCTATAGGCTACTACCTGTCACTGGTTATCTATTTATCTATCCATCTATATGTCTGTCGGTCTGGTTATCTATCTATCTGTCTGTCTGTCTATATATCTAACTGGTTATCTGTCGTCTGTCTACCTATTGTTCTATATATATCGATCCATCCATCCCTCATCTAACTGAGGCAACTTTCATCTCACTGGACGCGTTCTCATGGCAACCGATAAACGGTGAAACAATTATTTTGCATGAACCGTCTGATGATTACACATTTTAAGCAACCAATATAAGCTATACATTTAAGAGTGAATGTTGTTCGCAAGTGTAGCCTGCATCTGCATCACCGAGCCCCGGTCGTGCTTCTGCTTGCGCACGGCAGGTAGGATGTTCTTCCTCTGCAGTGGTTTAAGTGCGCGTGGATACGCGAAGGATGACGTACCTCGAGGGGCACGGCAGCACTCCGGGAATCACGAAACTCTTTCTCTGTGAGATCCGTGTTCTGGAGCATCTTCAGATGCATCTCTTTGATCTCATACCAATTATTGATTGCTCAAAGCACGGTTGGAAAAACAAAATCTCTACTTTAAGTTCTTTAACTAGTTTGCCCCACATCTCAAAAGTAGGCAGCTGTATTTTAAGACGCTGGATGTGGTTTCACTGCATCGACGCTGAATATAATTATAGTGACCTTGAAGATATTTAATTGGGACCAATAGCATTAGACAGACAGTGAGTTTTAATTTGCACCGCTGGGTGGCAGCAGAAAGCTACATCCAAAATAATGACTCGGTCTGTAGTTTGTGAGCCCCTTACTCACGAACAACTTTAGCCTAAATATCCTTTAAGGTAATAACTAGACAATTATTATATTTGAAGCATTTGTTGGCAGGTTAATTTGAAATAAAAAAAATAGTCAAATACAAAATATATACATCACAGTCCATGTGCACTGACCATGTGACTGTCCCCTGTTTTTTTTTTTTATTCAAACCTCCCTTCACTTAATTCAGTCATTCTTAATTGGTAGATTTTTTATTACTTTGACATGCTAAAAATACACATATTAACTATTCAATCTATGATACCTCAACCTATAACTTATTATGGGGAACAAAAAATGTAATTTAATCACTTTTTCTATCTACTGGTAGTAGCCATCCATAATAAGTGGAATATTGATTGATATTTGTGCATAGAAACTGTGAGTCAGAATTAAGGAAATAATCTTTGCTACTATACTGGTTCATTTATTCTATTTTCTGTCTTCAGAACATTAATGCTAGTAAAGCATAATAAATGCACATGTAACATACTTGAATTTGGATGAAAATAATATCTAAGTCCCTGTGGTTTGGTGGCTGAGGTGAATGTAAATCTACTCAGGCCGGCAGCTAGATGCCACTCAGGTGTGTATTAAACATGAAAGCACACGTCAATTTGTGGCAATTTCATTTCTTATGACAGAAAATTAGCATCAATTTACAGTATTGTGGATGTGAAAGAGCGCCTATGAGCTAATAGCCATTAGAGCTCATTATGGTGATGGATGAAAGATGCGAAACAAGAATTGTGGTACAAAAAGATCATAAAATTAATGTCACCGTTCATTTTAACTGCTATGTACAATCATATAAGAGAAGTCAGGGGAGATAACAGCAGTTTACAGAGTTCACATTGAATTTGTTGTTGCACACTGGCCTCGTGATTTTAATCAAACATGATAGCAGTGATTAAACTGGTCTCAGAACAGCATGTATTTCATTGTGTATATATTCTATTTTCGTTTGAGAGTTGAGAGTGGGTGTTAAATGGTAAGAGATGCTTTTGGCCATGGTTAATGTGTTGGAGAAACTATGGGACAGAAAAAAAAACAAGGGTGTAAAGCACTCAAACAGTTTTCTCACTTTACTCCTACACCATTCTTGAACATCTTATTACGACTTAATTTCATTGTGTGAAAATCACTTAAATGTGTAAAATGGAAGTTTATTTCATCCATTCATGTTGAAACTACACACCTTTTTTTTTCTTCTTGTGGCATTAGAAAATGGGCAGGGGATTTTTGGTTCCCAGCATTCAATCTGGGGACTAGATTTGCAGAGTAATCGTAGGTAAGTGTGATTTTTTAAGTGTAAGTTTGTGAAAGTGTTTTTTTTTTTATTATTATTATTAAATAATTATTTGTTTATTTATTTATTTTTGGAACAAGATGCAGAAATAGAGATATGCTAGCGTTTAATGAAATGTTACCCTAAGATTTAAGAATAGCTATGGTGAAGTTTTGAGGGGTTTGGTTGGTCAGCTTGGTGAAGTCGGGTAGCCTATATAGCTGTATATCACTGTGCAAATATCAGTGGTGTAAAAAGTCTCTTCTCTCTTGCACTTCCTGCTACACCAAATAAATGTTTAGTAGGCTAAAGCTGTTGCTAGCTAGCTACTAGTAAACTGCATTACTTTGAGATGTCTGATTGTTGCTATAAATTCGGGTATTTTTGTTAAGAACCTCATTACGGACCAAAGTCCACAATATTATTAATAAAAAGTACGTCCAAATTCTTGATAGCACATTAGACCAGATGCTGCGATTGTCTGACCCATTATTACCTCTGAATGTTCAGAAGAACACTGTCAATCAGCTCGATGTGTAGCAACAAGTCATATTTCTTCTTCGATCCCCCTTCCTAATAAACCCTGCCTGCTCGTGCTCCTGTCTAAAGTTTCTGAAGCGTTACTGTAGGTCTGCATAGAGAACTGCAGTAAAACGATAAAGGTGAAGAAGAAGCATTAATCTCTCAAACATTTCATAGATCTGTTGTCAAGCCATCCAGATGTGCTGACACACAGCCGCTCTCGCGCTCTAGTCCACCCCTCCCATTCGATTCAAATCTTATCCGATGCTATGCGAGTACGTACACGCGCGTATGTGCGCGACAGAACAGATTTGACAGTATCTAACTGCGCTGCGCGAGAGCCCAGCAAGAGCAACAAGAACACACACACACACACACACAAACACACGAGGGTCAACGGGAGCAGACAACGCACTATAGAGGTAAAACACCACATCCACGTCCACCTTTACATTTAGTCGGTACAACCGCCGCAGACGGCATCGTGCGCGAGAGTGACAGTTGAGTCTATTTGTCCATTCAGAAAGTGATGGCCGAGCGCCGCGAGCGTTAAATGAATCAAACCGTTTACAGTTTTATTCAAATGACGAAGCCGGAGATTGGTGCTCGCGTGAGATCGCTAAATTGTTTATGTACAACATAAAGGTTGCCTGTAACACTGCTGTTTTGGGTTGAAAAGACGAGAACACAGCTGGTGCTGGTGAGTCAGAGATATCTGGGTAAATATAATCTTCTCAAATCCAAAAGCCCATTAGACGCCTGCGTTTAAGTATTAGTAATGTCATTATTGAGTCAAACGTCTCTTTATTGCTCTGCAAAGCGACTGGTTTGTTTTCACACGTAGACAGCCAAACGCGCGACATCATAACAGGTAGTTATTTCATGTTTTCGGGAGATGTGTGTGCTATAAACTGAAGTCTGTTGCAGAAAGGGTCGTGTTTTAGACATGGAGACATGTTAAGGCAATATTTTGGGGACAAGAGGCGTAGTAATTTTATTAACAGATAGAAAGGTGATAACGGACTCGGAATGTCGCGGAATCAAATGATTGTGAGCGCGACGAATGCGCAGCTGTGAACACGCGCGGCGCAACAGTCAGCGAGTTCATGTATCTCTCAAAGCCCTGGCTGACAGCGACCGTCTGTGGATTATGTCAGATGGGTTTGTATCGATCCTGAGCGCTAATGGGCTTCACCGTCTGCATAAGGGTCAATGACGTGTCGCTCATTATTTTGTCTGGATCTATTTTTATTCAAAACGCAATTCATAAAGTGACCTGAATATATTATACATTGAATGATGAATATGTTTTCACTCTATGAATTAAAAATCAACTGGATATGTGATTTTGTGAGGATTAAAGTAAAAACAAATGTGTGATGGTTTAACTCTGGAGATTTTTTTTTAATCATTATATGGCTGATAAAAGGGAATTTTAAAAATAAGTTGTTTAGCATAATCTTATTTCTGGGGGAAAAAGCAATGAAGAAATTTTGTTTTAAAATATTATTAATAGGCTATTTAAAAACTTTTGTCTGCCAAATCAGTGGCATAGCCAATGTGCAGGAAGCCCTTTTTGTAATGTGATGAGATACATTCTCTATATAGGCTACACTGTAAAAAAAACTTAACTCATTATTTTGTGTTATCTTTTTGCATGGGTTTTTTTTAGTTTAACTAACTTATTTCGATAAGTTGAGGACAAGAAAACTTAAAATTTCTTGTTGTCTGGACAATCTAGTTATCTCTACACAAAAAAATAAGTTGAAATAACTAAATTGCTAAAATATTTTTTATAGTGTATATATATGTAAGTTTTAAGTGTTTGTACTTGGTGATTACCCAACTTTTTAAAAATAGTTTTGATGCGCGAAACCAACATGAATACAAAGATCACAAGCACTTGTGTTTTAAAATATTTCTCCTTTTTATCATCTCGAATATCCCCCCCCCCCCTTTTTTTTTCAATGACCCATAATGCTATTGTGCAATAGACAAAATAATCCCCTGTTCATAGGCGGAGGGTGAACCAACTAAAGGGTAAGACAGTGGCTAGATCTAGATGTGCTTCCTCCTTATAAACACATTTAAATAAAATGTCATCAAATAGTTTTAAGTTACCTATACACACTACACAGCCCAACTTAATCGCTCCCAATAGATTATTTGTTATTAAAGCGTCTACGTTCGCAAACCACTATAATTTGAACAGAAAAGCAAGCATACTGTATGCGTAGTTTGGCATGGCAGCCAATTCGAATAATAAATAAACATTGCTTTACCTAATGAAGCAAAACAAAAGTTTTATTAAAATTCTGAATGGATTATATATCTCCTAGAAAGCAACTCCTCTATAATCCCTAAAAAGCTGTCTCTCATCTCAATTCAATGCAATCTCACAAAGTTACGCTATAATCAATGGGCTATATGCACGCATAACTTCCGCGTTTGATGCAAGGATGCTCTTGTGTTACCGGTTGGGGAGATTTAAAGCGGAGGAAAACCGAGGAAAACGGGATTATGGCAGAGTCTTCAAAATGTACTGTCCTCTCGTCTTTGAATCGAAACTTTAATACGTTTAGATGTAATTTTATATATAGTTATGTTTATTTAATATAATAAACAAAGAAGCATAAACAACATGAGGGGTGTCTGTTTTGTCTGTTTTTGTGACTAACGTTTCTTTAGTATAGCAATAGAGTATAAAAACCAATATAAATTCTCGGTATAGCATTGGACTCTACGATCGGCGGAAGTAATCCAGCATCCTTAGACCTTCACCGGAAATACTGCCGTGCATAGAGCCCATTAAGCTGACTGCACAATGTTATTTAGCCTACACAATGTCTACACTTTAACTTTTAACACAAGTTAACTTTAACACGAGTTAACTTTTGTGTTCAAGAAATAAACAGATATGTTTGTGATTGGCTACATTGCTCAACGCTGGAAAACATGTTGTAAATAGAAACCTTTGAGACTCTCAATAGCGGAAACGCCAAAATCCGTTTCACCAATATTCTATTATTATGGAGAAAACTGATCCTAGTCCAGCAGTTATAGGCAGCTCTTCTCTCTAAAAGCAATCAAGAAGCAGCAGCAGTCAGTGGTTTGAGTGAGAAAATTCCATGCTAGTCTCAAGTCCGTGGCCAGGGAAAGGCTAAGCCTTGCCCATCCTTATACACGCTCCGCCTATCCCCCTGTTGCTGTTAACTGTCCTTTGGTTTGTTCACTGGTATATTTTGTTGGCCTTAAAACAATCAAAATAGAGGAAATGAATTTGCTATGAACACTGTAGTTCCTAGATCTTCATTGTCTTTAAAATGAAAGCAGAACAGGTCTCTGGGAATCAATACTGTTAGCTGCCGTTGAGCAATGCCTTCTCCGTTTCAGAGCTGACTTGGCACAAAGGAGGACACAAGTGCAGTGAAAATCCTGTCCCCTGCACAGTCATGGCCTCAAAGTTCAATCCAAATGTCCTTTATGTCGGGGAGCCCCGGGAGTCCCTAACTTCTCCGGACCCTCAAGCCGAGGCGGGTGACGAATCATCGGACAGTGACGGGGAGCCGGAGGAGACCTCGAACAAACTCATCAGAAAAGTGTCCACGTCTGGTCAGATTAGAGCCAAGGTAGGATTTAGGGATATGAGAGAAAAAAAGATAACCACCCAAATATTTGTATTATTATTTTATTTATTGTTTTATTTTAAGTAGAGAAGATTTTCTGTGAGAAAAGTTGCTGAAGTCACACTTGGACACCCCAAAAGATGAAGGGCTTAATACCCATGTGCGCGCGCGCGCACACACACACACACACACACACACACACACACACACACACACGTTGTATGGTTGTAGCTGGAGTGCATATTGATCCAGCGGACAGTCGCTGATGGCTCAGAATCAGTCAATACTTGGCATGCTTTGATGACTAGTACAGTGTATGTACAATATCAATGTCAGTTTGGACTAATGTTTATTCCTGAAATGGAAAAAGGATATGAGACAGTCATTAGCAAGCTTATTGTGTTACACATGACAGAACCTAGTCTACAAAGTGGATGCACATGTTCTTTATTAATCAAAAGCCCAAATGCTGTTGATTAATTGAGTTCATTTTAAAAAAGCTTTTTCCTTGCATAATGATTTTGACAGTTTGGTGTAGAGGTCAGTCTGTTCAAGAACACAATGAGGGCTACTCTGACTCTTGCACCCTCACATATCCTTGTTTATTGTGTCAGCTTTGTGTTGCATTGTGATAGGATGAGGACAGAAGAATTGTTTGAATTGTTAGCAGACAGTGTAAAATGTGTCCTAAATATATATATAAACTTCATGTTGACAACAGACCATGTAGGCAGAGAGTGTATCAGTATTTAGTGTCTCACCTGTGCTTCAGTATTTATTCATGTGTCAGGTGACCTTTCTCCTTTGACCCATGTGAGATCCTGAGTGTTAAATGTGACTGCAACAGTGAGGCCACCTGTTTTGTAGCATGAGAGTCTGGTGTCATTGAAACAGAACAATGTAATGTTATGGATTGCTCCTTCGCCCACTGCTGAGCTTAGCAATAACTTAGTAACCAGGCCCATTGAACTTTTTTTTTTTTTTTTACATTTAAGATATTGCTACTCACAGAGTTCAAAGGTTTATTGCAGTGCCACCATAACAAATCATATCAGCTTTAAGCTTCCTTTTAAACAGATCTCAGATCAGGGCTTTATCTGTGTGCTTGAGTGCTTCACCTTCCATTCCTTTCTGTTAAATTGCTGAAAACTGACCTCAGATCAGTTTAACCATCTGATCTGCTTAGAGTAAGCAGATCTCAAATAAGCAAAGGCTTTTTGTACGTGAACATTTAGATCATAGCTGTAATAAGATGAACCTGATCCCAGATCAGCTCATGTCAGCCATGTTTATCTTGACTGTGCGGTTGATGGAATTAGCAGAATATTAGTCAGTATCAGCAAGCCAATGAAGCTGAACTAATTGAATCAGGCAATTACACAGATGCCAATTAAGTTAACGTTTTCATTTTGTCAATGAATGTCTGAAGCTTCACTAATACTTTATGTAGAAATTATTTGATAGATTTTTTCTTACAACCTGGAAATATTTGGGGTCATTAAGATTTATATGCTCACCAAGACTGCGTTTATTTGATAAAAAAATAGTAAAAACAGTTATATTGTAGCCTGGGAAAACCCAGACAACTTCCGGCAAATTTAGATTTGCTCTGCAAGTTAGTCTGGCAAAGAGCTCATTCAAGCCCATTTCTAATCCGTCGAAATCGCGGCACCAATCAGAAACGTTGGGGCGGGCTTTACACGAAGACGACAGGAACACAGCGACGGAACTAGGGGTGTGATGGTTATAGTTGAACACCGTCATTAGAACTCTATAACTGGCAAAACCATGTTATTAAAATATTTTTTTCACAGACATTTTTTATCATAGAGAATGTTTAAATACTAATATCAGCTTACGAGGGAAACGGAGGCGGAGTTAGTGGTGCTTCGGAGGCTGCTACTGCTGGAGATGATTCGGGAGAGGTCTGTGCACCCTCCCTCCCAAGAAGAGAAATATTGGAGATCTCATTAATAAACGGAGGTCTGAAATCTTTGCCCTTTACCGATCAGAGCGCGCGCTGACACGGAGTAAAGCCTTGTTTACAACTCAGTTACAACTGAGAATGGTCTGGTTTTAACCAGGCTAGTAATATTGTGAAATACTACCAAAATTTATAACTGTTTTCTATTTTAATATATTTTAAAATATAATTTATTCCTGTCACATGATACTTCAGAAATCATTCTAATATGCTGATTTGGTGCTCAAGAAACATTTCTTATTATTATCAATGGTGTGGTGTTTAATATTTTTGTGGAAACCATGATCCCTTTTTAGGATTCTTTCTTTGAAGAATAGAAAGCTCATAAGAACAGCATTTATTTGAAATAAATTTTTTTGCAACAATGTGAAATTCTTCACTGTCACTTTTGATCAATTTAATGCATCCTTGCTGAATAAATGTATGAATTTCTTTTTAAAAGATTTTTTTAAAAGATAGTTTCACAAATATATCAATTTATCTTGATATATGTTGTCTTTTATTTAAAAAAAATGTTCACATACACATTCACTTTGACAGGAAATAAGGGTGTGGTTACAAGCACTCGCCTTATTACTTAAAGGGATAGTTCACCCAAAAATGAAAATTCTGTCAATAATTACTCACCCTCATGTTGTTCCAACCCCGTAAGACTTTCGTTCATCTTCGGAACACAAATTAAGATATTTTTGATTAAATCTGAGAGCTGGATCTCTTCTCCATGTGCTTCTAGGGGATTGAAACTGGCCGGCCCAGAAAAGTTATTAAAGACATCGCTAAAATAGTCCAAGTGACTACAGTGGCTCAACCTTAAGTTTATCAAGCGACGAGAATACTTTTTGTGTGCATAAAACAAACAAAAATAATGTCTTTATTCAACTATTCATTTCCTTCTCTGTGGGCCTCGAGTGAGTTCACATAAAAAGCACAGCGCAGCGCTTCTGTGTTGTACGTCACACTTAGGCTCACTATTGGCCGACGCTGGTCATGTGTGTGATGCGCACAAAAAGTATTCCCGTCACTTGATAAACTTAAGTTTGAGCCACTGTAGTCACTTGGACTATTTTAACGATGTCTTTAATAACTTTTCTGGGCCGCCAAGTTTCACTTCCTTAGAAGCCTATATGGAGGAGTGAGACAGCTCTCAGATTTAATCAAAAATATCTTAATTTGTGTTCCGAAGATGAACGAAAGTCTTACGGGGTTGGAACATTTTTGGGTGAACTATCCCTTTAAGACAAAGAGCTTTAGGTACATTTGGCTGACAGCTGCTGTTTTCTGTTTTGTTTTGTTTTTTGTTTTTTTACATTATCTGGGCCTGAGTATTTGTACGCAGCATGTACTGTAAGCCTGGTTTCACACTTCACAGACTGGGCTTAGATTAAGCCAGGATTAGGCCCAAATTCAATTAGGACATTTAAGTAGCTTTTATAATAGTGTCTTAGAAAACCATTACTGGTGTGCATTTTGAGACAAAACAATAACAGTGACATATTTTAAATGATCTAATTTACTGAGTCATTCTATAACACAAGCCATTGGTCGATATCGATGTTATCTGGTAATGCGAGGCGTTTACAGATCAAATCTTAAACCTCCCGATAAGCTCGCGGACACATCGGGGCCACCCTCCCTGACCATATCAAAACATGTTTGATATTTAGGATTTTAAATTTGGATGATTATGACTATGCATACATTAGTACTTCCACAATAGCTAATGAGTGAGACAAGTGAACAAGGAGACAGAACCCAGCAAGCAATTTTGCGTTTAAAAGACGTCTAATAGCCTTCCAAACACAGGCCAGACGTCTAGGCTAAAATGAGGCAAAATTTTGATTGTCAGTGAAAATTTAATAGACGTCTAAACCATAGCCCAAGAATAGACTAGTCATCAATTAGATAACAAGGAAATTAAATGAGTGAAGAAATGAAATCAAACACCTTGTAATCACTGTTTACTTTGCTTACATAATGCAAAACGACATGTATCCAAATTCAAGGTTATTTTGACTAGAAGTGGGTTACTCATAGCCGGACTATATCGGGTCTATAGTTAACCTAGACGGTGAAATGACGGCTATTGCTTGCTAGGAAGTAACAGAACTTTTGAAATGGCAACGGAGATGGAGGAACAGCTGGTTGAATATGACTGCCATTAATGTGTCCTCATATAATGTCTACAGCAAGTTGCCGCAACAGTATCCATTTTGTTTACATCCGCTTCCCCGGTGAGATCATGTGAGGTGCTAATAAATCTCGCATGATAATCTTAGTCTAGTGTGTGATAAGCCACAATTTTCAAATCTTGTAGCTTGTGCAGGTTTGAGATTTAAAAGAAGAAAATCTGTGAAGATTCTCCTTATGACCGTGATGCATCCAGATTTCGCAGTCGGTTAAGATTTAAAAACTCCTGCAATCTGAGCCCGGCTTTAGGGGCATGTTTACCTTCAATAGATTATGCCACAATAATCATTGCTTCCTGTGATGCGCTCATTGTGACAGCACTAATCAAAAAAACAGTGTGTACTTACACCCAGAGGTTGCGTAAAGCCAGCCAATCAGACCGGAAATGACCATTTCAATCAATGCTTGCTATTTTTGTGTACAATATGCATCAGACAGTCAATGAATGCTGATGGTTTGTTGGAGGGTCATCAGACAATGAGACTAATGACAGGCTAATGCTAATGCAGAATTTGAAATTGAGTACAATGATGAAAAGTAATTGTCTGTTTGTGTGTGTGCTTAGATTGGTGTCATGAAACACTGAATGGTTCTTCCTTTTGCTCATTAGTGATTCCCCTTCATTAGCATACATACTTGTTAAACCCTGCTAAGTGTGACATGTCATTTCAGCCTGACTGAGTTCATGTATTACCTGTTGTTGGCTTGCACACACTGACATTTAAATGTGTAGAATCAAAGTTAACAACGTGTTGTACATTTTGTAGGTATCTTAGACACTTACCCCATGTAAGCGTTTTGATGATTTCCTTCAAATAGAGAAGTGAGCAGT